GAAGAAGCAGTCGAACCGGAATAAATTCCATATTTATTTAAATTCACATTTATGGCCACAATTCACTTGGCACTCTAATCTCGCCTATTTCCAGAACATTTACAATTTTGATACTACGGCGATAGAAGCGATCATAGCAGCAGATAGATGACTGCAACAGCGTCTTGCCAGGATAAAAGCGTAAGCGAAAAGAGAGAGTGAGAGAGAATGTTGCAGTAATAATGCAGAGAAAGAAGAGAGGGAGTCAAAAAGTTTTCGCTTACATTTACTTTGATTGGACATGAGACATCTGCATTAAGCGTTACATAAGATCGCATGATAAATTTGAATGATGCGCTAAAACAGAGAGAGGAAGTCCCCAAATTAAATAAAAAAGATTATAGCCAATTAAAATTAGTTTGCTTTCATATTTTTTATTTAATACATAAATATGGTACCGTTGATTGCAATAAAAAAGGGAGGTGCACAATTAGATGTTATAGTAGTCCAATATATAAAATTTCAACGCTCTACTGCCAACCTTTTGAAGTTATGCGAGATTCAAACTGGTTAAAATCCTTTTTGGAGAATAGAGTCCTTTATTCTGTCCGTACATACGGACGTCAAGCAAAATTATACAGCATGAGTTTGGGAACGGTCAGAATGGATATTTCCTTTGAAATCTGATAAACGAAGTTTTTCGCGATTGCAATACTGCATTTGCTTTACAAGAAAGTAAAAAAGAGAAATAACGAAAAACTACAAAATAATGAAACATTTTAAATAAGCTGCCTCAAGTCACATAGATTATTAACCTTTGTTTTTAATACTAATGTGTATCGTATCGGCAAGCTGCTCGCAAGTTTGTCAAGGTCATTCATTCTATGGAATTAGATGATGCAAGCATGAAGTAAAAGCTTCAGTTAACTCTCTTATATTTATCGCATTCTTTAAATTGGTTTTCTGTTTCTGTATCATCCAAATATTTGCAACTGTATTGAGATTTGGAGATTGGTCAGGGCATTGCTCTTTTTTTTTTTTTTTTTTTTTTTTGAGTTAGCGAAAAATTGTCTGTCAATAGTTCGTACTCAGACGTATTGTGCTATTCTAGAGATGTAAGCATTCTAATAATTGCAGGAAACATTTTTCTTTCATGCACATTAACATATTAAGCCGCATTCATTTTTATAAATTTTATTCATGGTGCTTTTCTCTATCATCAAAAGTTTGTTATTTAATCTGTTTTCTGATAAATTGTGGAATTCAAATTTTGTACAAAAGCTGTATATAGATGATATGCATTGTTGTGAAGATTTGGATTTTTTTTTTTTTTAATTTGATGTTTAGCGGTTTTTTTCGCACATATTATCGTTTATAACGAACAAACTAAAAATCTCGGAAATTTACTGTTTGCATCATCGGATAGAGTGGAAAAAAACTTTTAATTAAACGTACAAGATTTTATTAATGTAATTTATAAACCTTTTGGCGTATTTTCGAAAATCGCTCGATTTGTTTCGACTGTATGACATTTATGATTTAAAATTTCAGCATCTAAAAGGTATCATTTTCAAACTTTTAAACTTTTTTCAGATTATGAAACAATTTCTTCATCCCCTTTTAAAACAAGAATTAAAAAAAATTAATTGGGCGAATTTTTACATTAAAAAAATTACTACAATGTGAAACGGAAGCGGAAGTATCGCTTCTTCGGTCGGTCTTGCTGGGAAATATAGTTTCAAGGTTATGATGTTACTATAATACATTATAATGAAATGCGCCACGTTATTTTAAAATTTTTCTGTTTCAAAAGTTTATTTAAATCCTTTGTCAACATTTCATTTTAAGAGATAAATTTCCCAGTTTTATTTAGGTATGTAATATTATGTTCTTTTATGGGACTTAAACTTTGACATTCGAAATTGTATCTATTACATAGATCTGAAATTTTAACGTTACAAAGCAAACTCTTCTCCCTCTTACAAAACAAAAATGATAAGAATTTCATTAAATTACGTAATAATTTTTTCCTCTTTTTATTACATTATTTTATGAGTTTCAAATAAAAGTTTATTTTATAAAAACTTTTCTATTACTTTTATTGATTTATTATTTCTTTATATTATCAAACATGAGTTTATTTTCAGAATATTTTTTCATTGAAAGCAATTACGAAAACCAAAAAGAGTTTTTACGAAATAGGCAAGGAAAAATTCCCGTAAATTTTGCGAGAAGCAGAAGAAACATTTTTGTTTAAAGTATCTTAAACAAAATTAATTTAGATGGTAATACAACTGGAATAGCTATTTGCCTTATGTTACTAAAATTATTCATGATAAAATGCATGTATTATTCAATTACTAATGACTCATAAAATATAGTTCGGATTGCGATATTTATTCCATATTCAGCTTCATCCTTTTTAAAAAACTTATTTTATGTTAGCACATACGCCAAAAATGTGATTAAATAATTCATCTCACTTATTGCATTTATAATTCTTTTCCCATAATCAATATTGTAACTAAAACAGAAATTCCCAATTATGTCATTTTATAAAAAAATGCGTTATTACGTTGTGAAAGTTACTGCGTTGCGAAATAAAAGAAAACGAAATTGTAATTCCAATGTAGAGGTTTTTCTGACAAGAAAGACATTCAACGCATTATTTTAGAGCTTCATGGTTGTTGCCCATTGTTTCATAACAAACAACAGCAAGAGACGTATTTTTCATTTTACCATGGCACTCACGGGCATTCACAATGAAAACGTTGTGATTCATTGAAATATTTTAATCCTATGACGAAATATCCAAATTGTTCAAGTAAAAAAGCTGCTTTTTACCTGGTCATCTAGTTGTAAAGATAATGGAATATTAAGCATTTATTCGCTCTTGTTTTTCTCTCTGTTAGTCTTAAATACAATTAAAATGCTGTTATTTCTGAAACTATTTGAACTGTCCTACTCTGGAAGAAGCTGTGTAGCAAAACTCAAATTTTATAAAACGAGTAAGAAATAGTTTTTTGAATCAGCACGGCTGCATAAAATTTTGCAAAGCGTATTATGAACATTCTAGCAACAGCGAATTGTGCTCAAACACCGATGGGATTTTAGGTTCAGAATCGTTATTTTTTTCCTTAAATAAATATCATAAAACAGTGTGCTTTGAAAAATACAAATAAACGTATCTCCGTTTAACAAAAGCGTACTTTATGTCACATCTCACTTCGCGTATTCACTCGTAAGAAAAACCTAATTAATATGTTTTTCGCTACTTCGCTGCCTTAAAAGCCGTAAAAAGTTTTAACAATGTATTTTTGTTTTGCATACACACAATCACCCCCCCCCCCGGAAAAAAAAAAGAAAACATGACTTTATGTTTTAAAAAAAATATTTTTATCTCCAGCGCGCGAGACCGTGTATCGGAAATTCTAAAGATATGCTCATTTTAAAATTATTTTGAGATCTAGCTGTTGAATTGAATTTTATGGTTTAAGTGCGAAGAATATAATATTTAAAAAGAAAAAAAATCTGAAAAGTACGCCCAAAGACGCATTTTTTTAACGTTTTGTGTGTTACCTTTATTTACTAAATATCATGTTCTTCGCACTTAAACCACATAAAATTCAGTTCAACAGCAATATCGCAAAATGAGCATATCTTTAGAATTTCCGGTACAGAGTCTCGCACGTTGGAGGTAAAAGTATTTTTTTCCGTACAGTGTTGTCATTGCTTACTTTGAAATCGTTGAGTTTCTTAATAAAAAATTCGTTAAAGTATTACAAAATTTGAAATCAGATAACAAAACAAAACTCCGAAATTCGGGCTTCCAGAATGCCCATGTCTCGGTTAAAGGGCGATACGTTATTCAAAATTTGATGGCTCTATGGTACCGTTGGTTTTATCACAATGCGAGAAATCAGAAATATTCATGCATTCATGCAGATTCTTCATTATTTAATTTCTTTAAATATAACACAAGGCGATAATATTTTGTGGCAACAATTTGAAAAGTGAATCAATGCAGAAAGTTAATGGGCGCAAAATGCCAAAACGAAATTAATAGCTCTTCTGAACTAACGCTCCTTTGGGCTAAAAAAGAAAGAAAGAAAAGAAAAAAAAAAAAAAAAGACGCAACGATATCATTTAATTCCCGGCGAACGGGCTGGCTGCATGGGCGTTTTCGTGGTTTTTCCCATGTGTAACGTGGATACGAGCAAGTTTCCCTTGAAAAGACCTCCACGGGGCATCCCTCCCTTTCCATGTAGTGCCTAAGGGCGGAGCACGTAATAAGCAGGAAAAAAAAATCATTTAATTTTTTTATGACATTTTTGTAGAGCAGCTTTAAGTGTGAAAGGCATGCAGTAATACGGCACTTTTGGAGAATGTTTTAATTACCTACGAGAAATTAGAAGTTGAGGGGTGATCAAATGTTATTAAATCTGATGATGAGCACCTAACCCAGTGGACCAGCTATTCTGTCGATGGTGAAAAGGAAAACGAAAAGAGATGTGGCCAGCACATGATCTCTCGCCAAATCTATGTTTTAAATATTCAGCGAACTTTAAGTAAACTATAATTTCTAGTTGATCCTTTACAAATGAAATCGAATTTTCAGTTCTAACACGTAGAATAGCTTATTATGCGAAATTTTGGATTATATTTTATTAGGTATAATTGGTCAAGTGAAAAAACTGGTTTTTCTGAATTAATGCCAATGTAATCAAATATTTGCCTTTTTATTTTTCCTATTAAAAATTGTATTTTATTGGGCAGTTGAATAAGACATTCAATTGGTAATATATTTAAAATAAATATTTTGAAATGACTACCACAATTTAATTTCCTTCTGTACTATTTCTATGGTATTAACAAATTTAAATTCATTTTGATCTGCACGTACATATTTAGATATATATCATTATTTAGATATCAGCAAATAATGCTCAGACAAGAGAGAAAAAAATACTTATTTATTTGTAACAATATGTTATGCTAATTGTTGGAAAACTGTTACGTACTTCGAGCAAAGCACCACTTCCGCTTGTTCAATTTTACTCAAAATCTAACAACTCTTTATACGAACGCAGAAAGCACTGAAAATATAAAATTTCGGAAGTTCGATGTAAGAGTAGTCGTGGGCGAAACATCTTATCTCAAACAAACAGACAGGCATCATTGCAAAAATACTAAAAAATGTGTTGTGAGTAACTAATTCGTGCTTATTCCCATAAAACTCGCTATCAAACTTTTAGACTGAAAATATTATCTTCTCTACCAATGTATATACGTTGACAGTAAAAACATGCTAGTGTAGGCAGTTAAACATAATGTCGTATTTTAAATCTTCATATCTGCGCGAACATATAGATAAATTTTTAACACCGGGATAACAATTACAGTAGATTCTTTCCATCTCAAACTCCATCTAATGTAAAACATTTTAGGGCATTTATTAGGTAGGGGATGAAGAGTATCTCAAAATGAGATTAACCCTGAAAGGGCATTTTTCAGTTTAGTCCTAAGCTCTGATGTCTCAACCCAATTAGTGAAGAAGACCCTTGGACATCCCAATACGCTCGGAGAATGTTAAGATATTCGAACCAAGGTATAAAAAAAGTGGACCGTGAAAAAAGCCAGATAGAGGGCAATTAGGAATCCTGTTTGCGTAACGCATACCGAAACTGCCAGAGTATAGATTTTAGCAAGTGCAATAAATGACCCCATGAGGAAATACTTAGGCAAGCAGACATAAAAAAGTAGTAGCCTGATCGATAGAAATAACTATGATATGCTAATGAAAGTCCATAATTATCAGCACTCTAGTCTTTTCAATTTATTTACACAATAGTTAGGGGGTTGAATAAGTATATAATGTTTCTACTGAGTCTTCTTCTTCTACAATGCGTTTGGTCCAGCAGTCCACGAGCTTGTGTAGTCCCTTTAAAAAATGTTTTTGGTTGGTTACACAACTGTTTATATTTCGCTTCTTCGTTCTATTCGTCGGCGTCTCCGTAGACAATCAGCAACCACGTAAATCATCTTTGCACAGACCAAAGAGATGACACTCGGGGAATGGGCAAGTTTTGGGCTGTAGACAACTCAAATGGTTAATGGGTTCAACAGTCTTGTGCTTAGGTTTTGCGGTAAGCTCTCTTGGCACCCATCTAGCATAGATTTTATATAAGATAATTCGCCATCTATGATTTGATATGACTAATCTGTAAAATTATGCAATCTCATCAACGATAATTTGCCGCTTTGCTAGTACCATCTCTCAAGCTTTTTTAATCTTCTCAGTAGTAGGAGTTGACGTGCATTCCATTTTCCTCTTTCTGACTCTTGTCAAAATTCTCGATTCACTCACATACTATACTTCTACTGTGGGTAAAAAAAGTATTTGCACACCTACATTTTTGTTTGCAGTTCATAAAAAGAAGCATTGAGAAATAAAAAAAAAATTGTATTGCCAAATCAGAATAAGCTTAATCATCCAAAACAAACAGAAAAATTACAATAATATAAATAACAATGCTTTTTTGTAACAAAATTAAAATATCTCGTATCAAAAAAGTATTTGCACACCTGCATGAATACAAAAGAAATAAAATATATAAGCAAATTTCAAATAACTAATATTTAGTATGCATTCCTTTAGCATCTATTACTGCTTGTAATCTTGCTGGCATTGATTTAATTAAATTTTCTGTAACGGTAGGGTCAGTATTCGATCATTCTTCAATAAAGGCTTGTTTAAAGGCAGATTTGCTTGAAATCTTCTTTTTTCTTATTTTTAAATCCAAAGAATTCCACAAATTTTCCAAAGGATTTAAGTCTGGTGATTGTGGTTGAGTGGCAAGTTTTCCGGGTACATTATAAAGCAACGACATACGTGTTATACCGGCAGTGTGCTTGGTATCGTTGTCTTGCTGAAAATAATACGAATTACTGATACCCTATTTTATTGCACTTTGTGGCAAGTTATCTCGTAACACATCAATATAGGTTCGAGCTGTCATATTCCCATCAATGAAACACAAATTACCAACTCCTTTGCTAGCCATGCACCCCCAAATCATAACAGAACCTCCTCCATGTTTAACTGTAGGTAACACATTTTTGGTATGAAAAGCAGTACAAGGTTTTCTCCAAACTAATTTTCCTGCCATCTGATTTAAAGATATTGAACTTACTCTCGTCGGAGAATATGACATTTTTCCAGAAATCAATTGGCATATTGATATATTCCTTAGCGAATTCAAGTCTCTTCAGTCTATTTCGTTCAGTTATGAGAGGTTTTTTTTTCTTGGAGATCTTCCCATAAATGTGTGCATTCGATGCAGGACATTTCGAACACTTTGGGCACAGATTTGAACTCCAGATGTTGAAGCGACATCATTGGCTAAAGTAATTGCACTAACACAATGGATTTTTTTGATGCTTCTCTTATGAATTTTTCGCTTTATTCGCAGTGAAAGTTTCTTTGGGCGTTCAGAGCGCAAGTTATTTGATGTAAATCCTCTTTCTTTATGACGCTTTATAATATACCGAACAGTACTTTTTTTACCAACATTAGAAGCAAACATTTACTTTTTTACCTATTTCTTGATAACTTAGGCCATTTTCACGTAGAGAAACAATTTTTTCTCGCAACGAAATCGGCAATTCAGATTTCTTAGGTGCCATTACAATTTGAAATCGACAATCAACTGATAACGTTCAGTTCCAAGTTCCAAGTACCGCTGGATGCGCCGCTGATTAACTTTCAGGATTTGCAAGTTTTGTTCCGGCTGTCTGAGTTAGTTGCTATAGAGCGCTGAAAGTAGGAGAATACATGAGTGAGACCTAAGTCAGGATTGCAGATGTTGAGAGGGCGTGACTACCTTGTCACGAGGTGTGAGAAGTCGTTAATACGTTGCGATTTCAGGTTAGAAATGCTGAAGAAAAACTTGGTATTAGGTGGGGAAATTTTCGTTTCCACTGAGTATGTAAGCTGCGAAAGGTCGAAGAAATCGATCATCGGTGAGAACTTCATAATGAAACATGTTGAAATGATTCATAAAGTTACATTCCTGCGCATTTTTGAAGAATTTATCGTTAAGTTTCCGCAGATGTACCGCGATGGTATCAATTTTGAGGTCCTCATGGAGGGTCTTGTTGCGGACATAATAGTGTGCGTTCGTGATAATACGCAGGAGTTTATTTTGAACGATTTGGAGTTTGTTCACATCTGAGTCTTTGGCTGCCGCCCAGGCAGGAGATGCATAAGTCAAAATAGGTCTAATTGTGGAGAGATAAACAAGTCTTTTCTTCCCCAAATCCATTCTAGAGTATTTACCGAGTATAGGAAGCAAACACTTGATAATTTGTAGTGCAGTGGTTCGAACATTGTTGATATGGTCAGTCCAAGTAAGACGATCATTAAGAGTGACTCCGAGATATTTGGCACTTTTCACTATAGGAACTCTTTCATTAAAGAGGAGAAGGTGATTCTTCAGTTGCTTATTTCTTTTCCTTCTGCGAATGATCAATAATTGAGATTTTTGAGCATTAATCTTCACTTTCCAATTCGCGCACCATGACTCGATACTTGGAATGAAGGCTTGTAGTTTCTTAATAGCGAAGTTAATGTTCGCAGACTTAACTGCCAGGGCAGTATCATCTGCGTAACATGCAAAGGATAGAGTCGTTACTGTTGGGTTTAGGGAAGTCTGCAGCATAAAATAAATAGAGTACAGGGCCTAAACAAGACCCTTGAGGTAGTCCACTTTGCATATTACGTTCTGAGGAGTAAGCTCCTTTCACGTACACTTTAAAAGTCCTGTCCGAGATGAATGAGAGGATGATCAGAAGAATTTCTCTTTCAAAATTAAGGTTGATTAGTTTTGCAATGAGTCCCTCATGCCAGACGCGGTCGAAAGCTTTCGCTACGTCCAGCATGAGGATAACAACATTCAATTTGTTATGTAAAGCAGCTCCAGAATACTCCGTAATACGAAGAAGTTGTTTTGCGCTCGAGAGCTTCTCTCTAAAGCCAAACTGCTCCGGCGGAAGAAGTTGAAGATAATTTTTCATTCGGCTGAGAATAATTCTTTCAAATATTTTACTTAATACAGGCAGTAAACTAATGGGCCTGTATCCGTCAGCTTGTGAGTGGTTTTTTCCAGGTTTTGGTATTAAGATGACCTTAGCAGTTTTCCGTAATTTGGGGAAGTATGAGGATGTAAGGCAAGCATTAAAAATACTTGCTATTATTCCGATAGTTTTTCTGGGAAGGCATTTCATAGCTTTATTTGTGATGCCATCTATTCCCGGTGCTTTCCTGGGATGAAGTTTCTTGATAATTTCTTCAATCTCAGCTGGGTTGGTGAATTTAATTGGGTTGGTGAATTTAATTAAGTTTCTAGCAGTGGGGCAATATAACCAGTCTTTGACATGTGTCAATGTGCTATGTTCAAAGTCCTTATTATTTGGCCATTCATTGGGTGTAAATTGTTCCTCTAGGTAGGTCGCAAACACATTTGCTTTATCCTGATGAGTGACTGCGAGAGCTCCATTATGGGTAAGAGGGCGATTTGTAGTATAGTGAGATTTAAGATTCTTAATTAATGTCCATAATGACCCATCTCTAGTGTTAATACTAATTAATTTCTCGCACCATAATTCTTCTCTATAATTTTTTATGTCTTTCTGAATTTCTTTATTAAGTTTATTGATTTCGCGTTTTATTCTTGGGTCCCAGGTCACGTGATAGGATTTTCTCATTCTGTTGCGTTGTCTAATCTTGATGCGAATGTAATTAGGAAGTCGAAGGCTATTATCTTTAAGTGGTTTAGTGTCACTTGCTTCAGCAATAGCACTTTTAATATTTTCAGTAAGTGCAGAAACCGCATTTTCAATTCCTTGCACTGTATTAAGGTTATAGAGAGGAATAATACGATCACTCATAAGATTTTCAAAAAGAGACCAGTCAGTAGTTGTGTTAAGAGTACGAGCTTCAGTTCTATTAATTCCCAGATAAGCGATAATGGGCAGGTGGTCAGATGAAAGTTCTTGAAGTACTTCAGTAGTAAT